ACGCAGTACCACAGAGCTAATGAGAGAGATGAATCTGAACAAGACAGCAGAAACAAACCCCTTCAAGTAACAGCAGCGTTGAGATGGCAATAAATGGATGCAGAATGTGATTAAACCAAAGCTAATAGACGTGTACAGAGTTAGTGCAGAGCAATGACCTTTTACTTTATTCACATTTGTTATTCTACACAATTCTTCAGTGGAAAATATTCAGTGAACATTACCTGACCTTACTTAGGTTGTGTGGTCTATTGGTTAATGTTAACTAATGTTATTTGAGCATAATTTTAGCAACTCACATTCAAGTTTCGCTCCATTGTAGTAATGAAAGCCCACTTTTCACCATTCACTTCATTTCATAGCTTAAAATAAAGTCTCAGACTCAAATATCTTGTTTCTATGGAAGCTAGATATAACGTTTATAATACAAAAGTCACATAATGAGATATGAATATACACTATGAGACATAAGGTCATAATTGTGAAATATAAAGTTGTAATTACAAGAAAAATGTTGCTATTGCGAGATATAAAGTAACATTGTGAGATATAAAGTCACAAATATGATAAAATTTCAGTTGTGAGATGCAAATTCACATTGTTAAATACAGTCACTATAATGTGCAACAGTGACATTCCGTGATATAAAGTCACAATTACAAGGACTAAAATTGTACAGAAGACAAATTGTGAAATATAAAGTCACAAATATGAGAAATAAAGTTGCAGTTATGAGATGGAAAATATACAGTTGAGATATAAAGTCACAATAATGCAAAACAGTCAAATTGTGAGATAAAGTCACAATGCGCGATATAAAGTCGCAATTATGATAAATAAAATATCAGTTGTGAGATACAAAGCCAAGTTGTTAAATATAGTCAATAATGTGCAACAGTCACATTTTGTGATATAAAGTCGCAATTACAATAACTAAAATGATTAATAAGACACATTGTGAGATATAAGTCATAAAATCAAGGAAGACTCACTTTGTGAGATATGAAGTCGCATATTACGAGGAATATAGTTGCAGACAGTTACCTTTTAATTAATTTTTTTTCACTCTGAGGTGGAAATTTCACTCAAACGAATATCACAGTA